GAGGAGGAGGAGGAGGAGGAGGAGGGCGTCGTCGGTACGACTCTTCTGCCATCCGCGTATTTTCGCATCAACGTTCAGGAGGATGTGGAGGAGGAGGAGGAGGAGGAGGAGCAGGAGGAGAAGGAGGAGGCGGAGGAGGAGAAGGAGGAGCGAGAGGTTGAGGAGCAGGAGGAGGAGGAGGAAGAGGAGCGACAAGGAGCGAGCGAGGAGGAGCGAGGAGGAGCGAGTTGTTCCCAACCATCCTGTGGTGTTGGGTCCTTGTTCTTCAGAGACCCGCGTTCCTTCTTTCCTCTCCTCCCCTCCCTCCTCCCTCCTCCCGTCTCCACCCTCACTATGGCGCACCCCTCACACGTTTCGTGGCCCCATAGGGAGCTCCACCGAGGGCAACAGTGGGGGTGCCCGCATGCGGTCCCCCCACCCAGTGCAGCGTTTCGTGACCCCACAGGGAGTTCCACCGAAGGCTCTTGTGGGGGTGCCCGCATGCGGTCCCCCAACCCAGTACAGCGTTTTGTGGCCCCATAGGGAGTGTTATGGAAGGCCCCAGTGGGGGTGCCCGCATGCGGTCCCCCTGCCCAGTACAGGGCTCCGTGGCCCCATAGGAAGCTCCACCGAGGGCCACAGTGGGGGTGCCCGCATGCGGTCCCCCTGCCCAGTACAGCGTTTTGTGGCCCCGTAGGGAGCTCCACCGAAGGCCCCAGTGGAGGTGCCCGCATGCGGTCCCCCTACCCAGTACAGGGCTTCGTGGCCCCGTAGGGAGCTCCATGGAAGGCCCCAGTGGGGGTGCCCGCATGCGGTCACCCCACCCAGTACAGCGCTTCGTGGCCCCATAGGGAGCTCCACCGAAGACCCCAGTGGGGGTGCCCGCATGCGGTCCGCCCACCCAGAACATCGCTTCATGGCCACGAAGGAAGCTCCACCGAAGGCCACAGTGGGGGTGCCCGCATGCGGTCCGCCGCACCCAGTACAGCGCTCCGTGGCCCCATGGGGAGTCCCACCGAAGGCCCCGGTGGGGGTGCCCGCATGCGTCCCCCCGACCTAGTACAGCGCTCCGTGGTCCTATACCGAGCTCCACCGAGGGCCCCAGTGGGGGTGGCCGCATGCGTCCGCTATGCCCAGTACAGGGCTTCGTTGCCCCATAGGGAGCTCCACCGAAGTCCCCAGTGGGGGTGTCCGCATGCGTCCGCCACACCCAGTACAGCGCTTCGTGGCCCCATAGGGAGCTCCACCGACGACCCCAGTGTGGGTGCCCGCATGCGCCCGCCGCATCCAGTACAGCGTTTCGTTGCCCCATCGGGAGCCCCACCGAAGGCCCCAGTGGGGGTGCCCGCATGAGCCCGCCACACCCAGTACAGCGTTTTGCGGGAGCTCCACCGACGGTTCCAGTGTTATCGCCCGCAGGCGTTGCTTTCACCCAGTCACGCGCTTCGTGGCCCCATAGGGAGCCCCACCGAAGAACACATTCACAATTGTTGGCTTCACAATTGCATATGGTTGGGTCCTTCGCCAGGGTAAGTTGTTTCCCAGTGATCAGCCGCGCTCTTCAAGGCGCAGGCGGTGCAGCACGAGACTACAAGAGATCTTAACCAATGGGTCGAACGTGGAGCATGCAGTCACTTGCATGCGTGTCCGTCTCCTTCCCGTCCCACCAAACAAGCCCGCCACACCAGCCCTTTTCTAACCCCCTATGCCGTCAGGAGGCGGCAGCACGTGGAGCCCACTATACATGGCGTCCAGCAGCGCCGCTCCGATCGGCAGAGGACGGCTAGCAGCCACAGGAGCTCCGTCTCCTTTCGGAGTCCGTGATTCCCAAGCCGTTCGAGCCGAAAAGCGGTGGCCGAGCTTCGGACCACTTCTCCTTGGCAGTGCCGCGACAGCCTCTTGGTATTTCCTTGGAGTACCACCCACAAACAGCACAGAAAATTGATTGGCCTGTTGTACACAGCCTGTGATCGGCACCACTTGGCGAGAAGGAGGAGGAGGAGCGAGGAGGAGCGAGGACGAAGGAGGAGCAGCGAGGATGGTGGTGGTGATGATGCTGATGATGATGATGCCGATGTTGAGGATGAGGATAGGGTGACGATGACGGTGATGATGATAATGATGATGATGCTGATGATGATGTTGATGATGATGACGATGGTGGTGATGATGATGATGAGGATGATGATGTTGCTGCTGGTGATGATGATGATGATGATGATGATGATGATGATGATGATGATGATGGCGGTGTTGATATTTGTAAACATGCTATTGATGCTGTTGTTGATGTTGATGATGCCGATGCTGCTGCTGATGCTGCTGCTGATGCTGATGATGATGCTGAGGATCATGGTGATGATGATGATGATGAGGAAAGGGAGGATGAAGATGATGATGATGATGCTGCTGATGATGATGCTGATGATGTTGATGATGATGATGAGGAGGAGGAGGAGGAGGAAGAGGAGGAGGAGGACGAGAAGGAAGAGGAGGAGAGGGAGGAGGAGGAGGAGGAGGACGAGGAGGAGGAGGGAGGAGGAGGAAGATGCGGAGGGGGAGGAGGCGGAGGAGGAGGAGGAGTAGGAGGAGGCGGAGGAGCGAGGAGAAGCGGGGGGGAGGGAAGAGCAGCTAGGATGATGCTGATGATGATGATGATGATGATGATGATGATGATGATGATGATGATGATGATGATGATGATGATGATGATGATGGTGATGGTGATGGTGATGGTGATGACGATGCTGATGGTGTTGATGATGATAATGGTGATGATGCTGATGCTCATGCTGCTGCTGCTGATGCTGATGATGATGCTGATGATCATGGTGGTGATGATGATGAGGAGAGGGAGGATGAAGCTTATGATGATGATGCTGATGATGATGCTGATAATGATGTTAATGCTGCTGGTGATGCTGATGATGATGATCATGATGATGGTGCTGATGCTGATGATGCTGATGATGAGGAGGAGGAGGAGGAGGAAGAGGATGATGATGATGCTGCTGCTTATGATGATGATGATGATGATGATGATGATGATGATGATGATGATGATGATGATCAGGATGATGATGATGATGATGATGATGATGATGATGATGATGGATGATGATGATGATGATGATGATGATGATGATGATGATGATGATTGTGATGCGATGATTGATGCTGATTGCTGATTGCTGATGCTTGCTGCTGATGCTGATTGCCTGATGATTTGCTGCTGCTTATGATGATGATGATGATGATGATGATGATGTGATGATGATGATGATGATGATGATGATGATCATGATGACGATTCTTGCTGATGTTAGTGACGGAGAAGGGAGGAGGAGGAAGAGGAGGAGGAGGGAGGATGAGGGAGGAAAGGAGGAGAAGGGGAGGCAGGAGGAGGGGGAGGAGGTGAGAAAGGAGGAGGGGCGAGGCTCGGAGGAGGAGGAAGAGGAGGACGAGGAGGTTGAGGAGGAGGAGGAGGAGGAGGTTGAGGAGGAGAAAGGGAAAATGGGATAAGAGGAAACGAGGAGGAGCAGCAGTAATCAGGAAGAGAAGGCACCCCTCTAGCGGGGAGGTTCCTGTGCAGCGCGCGGCACCTCGAGGGCCTGCAGCAGGCCGCCCCTCCCCGCCGCGGGGGGGGGGCAGGGGGGCGCCGCCGCGCCGCTCGCCCCGCCGCCCCCGCGGGGCCGGGCGCAGGGGCGGCCCGACCGACCCCTGGCAAACTCAGGAGGAAAAGAAAGACGCAGACACAACGAATCCTCGATTCCCCCGAAAATATGGGAACATATGGGAAGTGGGGGGGGGAAGGCACGAACCCAGAAGCTATGGGAAACTATGGGGAATCCTTCTATTTGTGTGTCTTTATTTGTGTGTCCTGGGGCCCCTTCACAAACCAGGGGCCACAACCTGATTCGGCGGCGAGCGAACGAGGGAAGTGAGAAGGGGAAGGCCTTCTCAGGAAACGGCGGGGCTTCCAGAAGGCCGGGTGACTGCCGAGCCTTCGAGGAGGCCTCCTCCTGTTCCTTCCCCCCCGGGCTCGCCGCCGACTTATCCTCTAGCACACTTCGGACGGGGCTAGGACGAGGATACATCTGTTCAGAGCGTTCCGGAACGCTCTCAGAGCGTGCGGGAGCGTTCTAAGAAGGCCGCAGCGCCCAAGACATCCTCCGGCACCGTGAGGTCTCAGAGATTCTCGATTCTTCTCCTCACCCGAATTTGTTCTGGTCCTGGCGTCGTTTTAAAACCTGGCAAACCAATGATTGCAGACCTGGCGAACCAGGGATGATTGCATCCTCTGGCGATAACGGGCGTTAGCGGGGGCCGGAGGGTTGGGATGGGAGGCGGTAACGTCACGACTTGCGCCGGCGCCGTCTGGGATAATAAGTGCCCTCGGCCATTTCCAGATATGGTGCCGGCGCGACTCGTCACGTTGCGGGGAGGGGAGACCCGTTTCTTTTTGTTGGCTGCGAGGAGGGTTCAGGCAGACGCAGGGTAGAGCGCTCCTACAGCGTTTCTGGAGCGTCCTGTAATGTCCGCAGCGCCTGATGCGTTCTCCACAGCCGCCGTTTTCCCCGGCTTCAGAGAATTTCTGCGGGGACACCCGCTCCCCCGGCTTCCCCGGCTTCCTGGCCTCCAGGTGCCCTTACCGCCTCGCTCAAGACTGATCCCGTGGTTCATGCTGACCAGAGTTTCCAGGATCATCCAGCCGTGGCGACGAGGGCTCTCAAGCAAGGACAAGTAGCGGTATCGGTATGTCTTCCTGCGTTGATGCATGTTGCCTTATCTTAATCCGATGTTGTCCTCATCCTGCGGCCGTCTCAACAAGGGGGAGAAACCCGAGGCGGGGATTTATCCAGAACCAGGGCTCGAGCTAAACGGTGTTTGGAAATGTTGTGGACCGCTTTCGTTGTGATCTCGTTCTGCAGCAGTGGCAGAACGAGGACAGAACGACGGACAACGAAAACCGAGCGGACACGAAACACACTGCCGCTCGAGCCCTGCAGCCAACCCATCCCCTTCCGTGACGTCCCTCCAGCCTCTCCCCAAGACGTCTGTGTGCGGCCAGAGGGAAGCTGGAGAGAAAAACAACGCTAAACGTAAACTGTTTAAGGTCGTCCTGCCGCCGCGCCGCGCCCGCTGGGCGGATCGGTAGTTTGGGGTCGTGCGTTGTTTGTTTTGCACTTGCTGTTGTGTTGCTCGCAGCCTGGATTGTGCCGACGTTGTCTGGGCGAGCTGGAGGATTGAGATTGCCTCCAGGTTGCGCCCGTTGGGCGAGTTCCCAGGCCTCGACACGGGGGCGCGCGGAAGCTGCTCGAGAGGCGAGGGCGACGTCCCCGAAGGGGATGGCCTGCCAGGGGCCGGCTGGGCCGCGCCCGGTTTTTGGGCACTCGCCGCCTCGTGGGGGGCTTTCGCGCTGGATGCCGCCACGCGGAGGAGGAGGAGGAGGAGGAGGAGGAGGAGGAGGAGGGGAGGAGGAGGAGGCGGAGAGGAGGAGGAGGAGGACGGGAGGGGGAGGGAGGCAGGAGGAGGAGGATAGGTGGAGGGGGGGGGGAGGAGGAGGGGGAGGAGGGGGAGGAGGGGAGGAGGGGTGAGGAGGGGAAAGGGGAGGGAGGAGGAGGAGGAGGAGGAGGGAGGAGGAGGAGGAAGGAGGAGGAGGAGGAGGAGGAGGAGGAGGAGGAGGAGGGGGGGTGGGGGGAGGGGGAGGAGGAGGAGGAGGGCCCCGATTCCATCGCGATGAAAAGTTACGACGGGAACTTTTTCTCGATTCTCGGCCATCGGGTGCCCTTCCCAGGCCCCGGGACCGTCAAGAGACGACTCCGGATGAAAAGCCGCTCCCAGAGAGGGGATCCCGACCTTTGGGGGTCAACTTTGCGAAGAAATCACGACGCTAGGGGTGTGGGGAGATGGGGGAGGATGAGAAGGAGGATTAGGAGGAGGATGCGGAGGCTGAGGAGGAGGAGGCGGCGAAGGGGGAGGCGGAGGCGGAGGCGGAGGCGGAGGCGGAAGCGGAGGCGGTGGTGGAGGAGAAGGTTGAGGAGAAGGAGGAGGAGGAGGAGAGGAGGAGGCGGAGGAGGAGGCGGAGGCTGCGGCGAAGGGGGAGGAGGAGAAGGAGGAGGAGAAGGAGGAGGACGAGGAGGAGGAGGGCGAGGAGGAGGAGGAGGAGGCGGAGGAGCCCTGCCTTGTTTTTCTTTGTTTGGACCTCCTTGGAGGCCCTCGTCTCCACGGCTGGATCGTTATCGAAAGTCAAGTCAAAACGCACCCCAGGAGAGGTCTGGGGAGTTGCTGTAATGATCGGTATCCTTCGATTTCCCCACTACGGAGGGGATCCCAAGATTCATGCCCCTCGTTGTTTTGTTGTTTCTCTTTATTTTTGTGTCTCTCTCTCTCTCTCTCTCTCCATATATATATATATACACATATATATATATATATATATATATATATATATCGGTCGCCCCGCACTGGGCTTTGGTTACGCGGTTGGCGCGTCGTACTCTGTCTTCACTTGTCTCCTCTCTCTGGCTCTGGTCGCCGCCTGTTTCTCCCAGGCTCGTGGCATTGAGGACTCCGCTCCCCCAGAGCGAATCAGCAACATCATCATCACCGAAAGCAGAGGAACAGCGATCAAATGCATACGGAACAATGTTCGGAGCTCCACACGGATGTCTTAAATCGGCGCTGGTGCCCCTTGGCGGTGCCTCTGGCGCCACCCTTGGCGCGCTCTGCCGATCCAACAAGACACGCGCGTACCTCCGACGGGTCACGCTTACGCCGTTTGGTTGCCCCTCTGATTGGCGCTCTCCCTCCGGTACTTCGCCTCCAGCTCCTGTCCAAGGCGTACCTTTTCTTGTGCAAGCTCTTCGGCACCGCCTGCACCCCGCACCCTCCAACCGCCTGAGGCCCCGCCCGCCCGCGCCCTGTCTCCCCAATTAGTGCTTTGCGCGCCCCGCCTAGCTCTTAACCGGAAGAGGCCCGCTCTCGACCCGCCGACCAAAAAAGTCCCTCTGATTGGGGCCGTCTTGGGCCCCTCTTGGGGCCTCCTTGGGTCATCTTGGACGAGCCCATCGGACGTGCAAAGGCGAGTAGGCACATCACTCTGGCAGCCGCTATGTGTTGGAAAAGTGTTGGCCTCTGTATGGGGGTCCTTTGGAAGCTCCGTGGCCATGTGGAACCGCCCTGGGACGTCCATGGCGGCGTTTGGCTGCATGCTGGAAGCTGCCTTGCGCCATCGAGGTCTTAGGTTTTTTGGTGCGATCTTCGTGGCCGTCTGGGTCTATCTGGAGCCCTGTTGGGGCCATCGTGAAGGTATACTTCTCCCCGAGGGTGAACTGGGTTGGCCTAACAAGCCCCGTAAACAATCTACACCCAGAAGTGTTTGTGGGACTAGAGGCTGCTGCACATCTAGCGTAGCTTTACATGGTTTTACGTGGCTTGACCTCACCCAGTCACGCCAAGTACGTTTGTTTAGCTCAGACAGCTGGTCCTTTTGGGGAGCCGGGCCTAGCGCAGCCCATCTCATCTCACGTCGGTGTATCTTGGCCCGGTGTGTCTGATGTGACGCGGCGTCGCTAGTTTGGGTTGCGCTTGGTTTGGATCGGCCAGGCTCTTCGTTGCTAGGTAATGTTTGACTTCGCTTAGCGCATGTTGTCTTTCACCAGCTGGTGCTAGATCAGAACAAGGTAGTCTACACTTGCGTAGTGCAAGCTCAATGTGGCCTTTTTCTTGTACCAGAGTTCGGATTCTGAGGTGTCTTTCTTTTGTCGGCGGCGAGCGTGGGAGGGAAGTGAGGAGAGGCGGGCCGTCTCAGAAGTCTCGGAAGTCCCACGGCCTTCTGAGAAGTGTTTTACGCCGTCCCCAAAGACATTGCACATGTCTCAGAACGTGCAAGGGCATCTGAGAAGTCCCGCCGCCTTTTGAGAAGGCCTTCTCCTTCTCATTCCCCCTCCATTAGCCGCCGATTTTGACGCCCATCATCATCGCTTTGCCACCGTGGTCAGGCAGGTAGGCTGATGGTCACCAGCTGGTGCTAGGTCAGAAAAGTGCCGCCCAGGATGGGGAGCAGAGGATGCTCGCACACTGCGTATGGCGGCATGTGTCGCGAAGGTGCCCTTCTCTGGCGATGGGGCGCCACCATAACCGCGCGTGGTGCGCATCGCGAACCGTGGGCTCAGGCGACCTGGGCAGCCCGCAGTGCAAATCCATGGTGAGGGCGCAGTGCTTCCGCGAGGTCACCCCCTTGCATCTTTGCTTCCTCGGCCAAGCCTTGGCCAGTGCCCACATCCAAGGGCATCCAGGGGCCACACATCCTTACAGTGGAGATCCATGCCAACAAACACCCTGCTTGCCTCCAGGCTGTCCTGGGTTTCTTCGGTTTCGACGGTCCTGCTGTTGGAGAGTTTCACGCTCCCACGCCAAAGACCAACGGACGTCCTGGGGTCGCAGGGTTTGGGGTTATCGTGGAAGGCCTCTTTCTTGTGGTCGGGCTCCTACTCCACCTTCCGTCCTTACTATCTTGATTATGATTGTATCTTCGCCCAGCCTCCGCTTCCGCGCGCCTCGTTCCCACCTCTTGGCGCGGCGCCCAGCGTCGCTTCCTCGCTTGGCCGAGCCCAGCCGCGCCACGCGCGCCGCGTGGCGCGGCTGGGCTCGGCCAGCACTCGGCTCCTGGCGCTCCTCGCCCCAGCCCGGCTCCGCTGAGCCCAGCCCAGCGCGGCCTAGAACGGCGCAGCGCGGCCCCCTTGCAGAGGCACCGCTCGCCCAGGCTGCACGCCGTCTGGGCGCGGAGGACGGGAAGGACGAGGGAGGGAGGAGTGGGAGGGAGGAGGAGGGAGAGAGGGAGGAGGAGGAGGAGGAGGAGGAGGAGCAGCAGCAGCAGCAGCATCGAGCAGCGCCACTGCAGGAAGGAGTAGGGACCATGAGCAGCAACAGAAGGCTGAGGACGATGAGGGTGGAAAGGATGAGGAGGAGGAGGAGGAGGAGGAGGAGGAGGAGGAGGAGGAGGAGGAGGGGGAATAGGCCGAGGCGAGAGCTCTCGGGGGGCCGTGCAGGCCACTGAGAGGCCCCTGGAGGCCCTCGGAGGGCAAATTTTTTTTGGGGAGGCACCTCCCAGCGTCCACCCCCCCCCCCTTGAACCTCGATCGTCGATGCTCGATGGTCGAAGGTCGAGGGCAGGAGGCAGAGGGAGGGAGGGGGGAGGAGGAGGATCGAGGGCGCCCCCGAGGGCGCGAAGTTATTCGAAGTTATTCGCGCTTCGCTCTTCGCGGTTCGGCTCCGACTCCTCCTCGTCCTCCTCCTCGGGGGGCGGCTGGAGAGCGCGAAGCGCGAAGGCAGGCGCCTTTGGAGGAGGAGATGAGGCGGAGGGGGACGAGGATCGCCATGAAGGACAGCATCCTGAGGGGAGCGGGTCATAAAACCCAGGCCCCCTGCTGATTTCGATTCCGATCTGGCTTGACGTGATCCAGTTTCCTATTCGATCCGACTCGGCCCTGCCGACTCTTGCCGATTCGGTGTGTCAGCCGATTTCTGTCGATTCCTGCCGATTCGATGTTCTGATCGATCCGATTCGGCGTATCGATTCGATGCTGGGACCGCCTGGTCTTCCCCGTGACCAGCTTCTTGCCTGGAGTTGCCTTTTTGACAGTCCTGGGTGGGGCCCGCGGAGGGTCACTGGTATTGGAAACGGCGGGGATCACTTGGGCTTCGCCCTCCCAAGATCAGATGCTTCCTCTGGCGATAACGGGCGTTAGCGGGGGGAGGAGGGGGCGGGAGGGGGAAGGTAAGGTCACGGCTTGCGCCGGCGCCGTCTGGGAATGTGTTACCTTCGGCCATTTCCAAATGGCGCCTGCGCGAATCGTCACGTTACCGGGGTACGGGGGATCCGTCTCTCTTTTGCTGGGAGGAGGGTTCAGGCAGTCTTAGGGTTCATGTCCCAGAACGCTCTCACAGCGTTTCTGGAGCGTTCTGTAACGGCCGCAGCGCCTGAGACGTCATCCAGAACCGCCGGCTTCCAGAGATTCTGCGGGGACGCCAGGTGCCGATACCGCCACGCCCCAGACCTGTCCCGTAGTGCATTCTGACCAGAATTTCCATGAGAATCCAGCCGTGCCGATGAGGGCAAGGACGAGTAGCTGTATCGGTACATTTTCTTGCTTTGATGATTGTTGCCTTATCTTGATCTGAATGTGTCCTCATCCTGCGGCCGTCTCGGCAATGGGGAAGAACCCGAGGCGTTGATTTATCCAAAACCAGGGCTCGAGCTGAACTGTGTGTTCGGCGATTTCGTGCATCGTTTTCTTCTCCATGTCGTTTCGCAGCAAAGGTAGAACGAATGCATAACTCAGGAGGGAAAAACACACACAGACACAATTAATCGTCGACTCCCAGGAAAATATGGGAAGTGGGGGGGAAGACAGAAACTCAGAAAATATAGGAAAATATTGGGGATATGTTTATTTGTGTGTATTTATTTGTGTGTCCCAGGGGCCCTTCAATAACGTAGGGCAACGAAAGTGGCACGATAACGAACGCAACAATTCTGTGTCGGCCGAGCCCCGTCCAGAGCCACCGCCAGGGGGATCGACCTCCCAGGACCTCGGCAGGCGGCGGATGCGGATACGTTCGGGCCCCCATGGGCTCAAGTGTTCCTCCTCCTCCTCCTCCTCCTCCTCCTCCTCCTCCTCCTCCTCCTCCTCCTCTCCATCCTCTCTCCTCCTCCGCCTCCTCCTCCTCCTCCTCTCTCCTCCTCCTCCTCCTCCTCCTCCTCCTCCTCCTACTCCCCCTCCTCCCCTCCTCCTCCTCCCCTCCTCCTCCCTCTCCTCCTCCTCCTCCTCCTCTCCTCCCTCCTCCTCCTCTCTCCTCCGCCCCCTCCCTCCTCCTCCTCCTCCTCCTCCTCCTCCTTCCTGCTCCTCCTCCTCCTCCTCCTCCTCCTCCTCCTCCTTCCTCTCCTCCTCCTCCTCCTCCTCCTCCTCCTCCTCCTCCTCCCCCTCCTCCTCCTCCTCCCCCCCCTCGGGCCGATCCACGTCCGCCGCCCGCGGGGCTCCGGGGGACGTCGGCTCCACGTGCGGCAGAGGGGGGGGGGGAGGTCCGTCCCCGCCCCGCAGGGAGGGGCCACGGAGGCGCCCTCCCGCTGGGAGCAGGGACGCCGCCTTCGGTCGTCGTCGTCGTCGTCGTCGTCGTCGTCGTCGTCGTCGTCGTCGTCGTCGTCGTCGTCGTCGTCGTCGTCGTCGCCCTTCGCTTAGGGGGCGAAGGGCGGTAGAGAAGATCAACTCTTCCGCCGTCTGGGACGCCCGCCCCCCCGGGGGCGGCTGCAAGGTTCCCCAAATCCCTGTTGTCGTGGCTGTTGTCACAACGTCGACCCCCAGAGGTCTGGACGCCCGAAATGGGTACGGATCGGGGGTGGACAGAACCCCCAACAGTGACACGTCGATTAGTGAATTGTCCGTTTTCGGCTCTCGAGAGGGCGCCGTGGGCGTTATTTTCCAGGCTCGCGCCCGCCAGGTTAGGATTTCAGGTCGTTTTCACTGAACCACGTTGTACTAAAGGGGGGTCTGTCCATCCCCGAACGGAAATAATGGGTACAATGCCCAACAACACATGTTGTCCCAGACCAGCAGCGGCCGCTGTTGGGCAGGCGGCCTTCGGACAGCGAGTCCTGCTCAAAATGAACAGGAACTTCTCAGGAACTTCTGCTGGCATTGTACCCATTCTTTCCGTACCCATTTCGGGCGTCCAAACCAGAAGTCTGGACCCCTTCCCCGGGACTGGTTTTTCATCCTGAGTCCGTTTTCGACGGTCCCGAGGCCCGGGGAGGACCCCCAGAGGCCGAAGTTAGCGACAACCCCCTTGCCGCGTTTTTGTGTTTGTTTCGCTGCGCGAGGGGGTGTCTGGGTCCCTACCCCTGTGGCGCCGCGTGGGGGTATAGACTCTCCATGCCGCCCCAGGGTGGTCGAGGCGTCCTTGACGGCGGAGGAGTTTATGCGTTGCAGCGAGCGGCTTGAATCAGTCAGCCACGCGCAGAGGGGGGAGGGGAGGGGTGAGGGCTTTCTTAAAGCACTCCTGCTTCTTAGAAGGCGCGAGACTTGTCTGTAGATGTACGGACCCGGCGCCTTCTAAGAAAGCCGCGCCTCTAAGAATGCCCCCCCCCCCACCCCCCACCCCCTTGCGCGCGCCGCCAGATCAGGAACGCTCGCTTTTCAAGAGTGGCTCGGTCGTTCCTTAGGTCCGCACGCGTTCCGCCAGGCCGTTCCTTCGGACTTCGTAGACCTACTTGGAACAAAAGGTGTCGGGGGTGGACAGAATCCCCACCCTGACACGTCGATTAGTGAATTGTCCGTTTTCGGTTCTCGAGAGGCCGCGGCCGTCATATTCCAGCTTGCGCCCGCCAGGTTTGGGCCCGAGGGCGTTTTCGCTAAAGCACGTTTCGCTAAAGGGGGTTCTGCCCATCCCCGAAGGGGCTTCGTTCCTTACTCGTCGTTCCTGAGGTCAGGCCGCTGGCTGTTTGCCGTGCTTCAGGAGGGAAAGGAACACACAGACACAAGTAATCCTCGACTCCCCAGAAAATCTGGGAAAATATGGGAAGTGGGGGGGAGAGACAAAACCCCCGAACATATGAGACACTATGGGGAATCTTTTTGCTTGTGTGTCTTTATTTTTCTGTGTCCTGGGGCCCCTTCAGTGCTGTCCCTCGCTCCCGCCGCAGCCGCCGACGCGCGCGCGCAGGTCCTGCGGCGTCGGGCGCTGGAGGAGCAGAGCGCCGGGGTGCCGCGCGCCGCGCCCCTTCGCCATGGGGCAGCCGGCAGGGCGGGAGCCCAGATGGTCTGGTACCGGAAATTTTCGGTAGCGATTTCGACGCACCCCGAATTTCGGTAGCGACCGGATCTTCGTCTGAGGGCGTTGAAATAGCGGATTCCAGAACGGTCTGATACCGGTATTGGGCGCTACATTTCGGTATTTCGGTAGCGACCGATCTCTGCGGAGCGCTACCGGAAATTTTCGGTAGCGGACCATCAGGGAGGGGCACCCAGACGTACGATCGCGTCGGGGAAAAAAGTCAGGAGGGGGAACAAAAAAACACAGACACACGTAGTCGTCGATTCCCCAGAACATATTGGAAAGTATGGGAAGGGGGGCGAGAAGACATATAATAGGAGAAAGATATAGGGAATCTGGTGGTTTGTGTGTATTTATTTGTGTGTCCCAGTTCCCCTTCAAAAAGTACAATCGCGTCGGGGATACGATCTGGTCGGGGAAAAAAGGATCAGGACCCAGACACGATCGCGTCGTAAAAAAATCAGGAAGGGAGGTTTTTGACTATTTTCGGCCCCGGGGGGCCCTTGCCGGACCTCGGGACCGTCAAAAAACGACTCGGGACGAAACACCGGTCCCAGGGAAAGGGTCGGGACTTCCAGGGACGCCGCCCTGAAAACATCAGGACGTCGCATGTCTGGAGACGGTGCTCCTCGAAGCCCACGAGATCCGAGGAACCCAGGGCATCATCGCGTTTTTTTCCCCCGCAGAAGCCATCGAGGCCTCCAGAAACCCGGGGCACCCTGGAGGCGAGCGGGGTGCTCCTCGGCGTGGGCCTCCACATGATTTTTTCTCGATGCGTTATCCTCGATGAATTATTCTCGATGCTTCTCTGCACCTGCTCTTCGCCGACGTGTGCTCGATGCTTTGCTCTCGAGGATTTTATTCTCGACGATTTTGTTCTCGATGCTTCTCTGCACCTGCTCTGCTTCGACGTGCCCTCGACGCCGCAGGCAGGCCTGGGCCGCTGCCCTCCGCGAGGTGCCCCCCCCCCCCCCCCCCCGCCCTCTGCCCCAGGCCGCCCCCCCTTGCGCCGGCCGCCCCTCGCGCGTGGCCGCCGCCCTGCCTCTCCGCGTGGTGCCCCCCCCCCCCCCCCCGCCCTCTGCCCCAGGCCGCCCCCCCTTGCGCCGGCCGCCCCTCGCGCGTGGCCGCCGCCCTGCCTCTCACCACCCACCAAACCACCCCAACCCAACCCGAAGGCTCCAAATTGCCCTCCATTTCCAGTGGGGGGGGGGTCGGGGAGTGTCGAGAAAACACATACGAAACCCTTACCCCCCCCCCAACCCGAAATTCGGGTCTTCGGGTTGGGTTGGGGTGGTCTGGTAGGTAATTAGTCAGCCTCAGGGGGGCAGGGGCGGGGGCGCGGGGCGACGGCAGTCGAGCAGTGGCGAAGCGTCCGAGCTGCCCGTGGGCCCACCAGGGGATGTTGTGAGAGCCCCTTCTGTGGTCTGCACGAGCTGTTCTCAGAGGCCAGTTCTGGCTGGGGCCGCCTTGTTCTGGCACATCGGGCTTCTATGTTCGAAGAGGACTGCTGTTGTGATTCGAAGATTTTTATCGGTTCTAAGAACTTTCGTGGTAGGCCTACAGGGATGCCGGGACCTCGTGCCCCTGCTCAAGGTAGGGGGGCGGGGACGGGCACAGGGGTGGGGAGGGAAACATCGAACTTGGACTTCCATGCCCAGGCATTATCGCGTCGTGGAAAATCAGGACGGGGGGGTTTGGCTGGTTTCGGCCCCAGGGGGCCCTCGCCGGGCCTCGGGACCGTCAAAAGAAGGCTCGGGACGAAACACCGGTCCCTGGGAAAGGGTCGGGACTTCCAGGGACGCCGCCCTGAAGAATCAGGACGTCGCGTGTCTGGGCATGGGTCTAGGCCTCTTAGATGGGGTCCAGCGCAGATTCGTCTGATCGCCCCTCCCAGCCCAGGAGAACGCGCATTTGCGATCGGGGGCCAATCGCCGATCTATCGGAGATGTATCGCCGATTCCAGGTCGACGTTGGAGGGCCACGCCGACCTGCTTCTAGAAAAAACAACTTCTGGGACCGATGCCAAATACCGTTCTCACGTTCCGAAAAGTGTCCATGGACACATTGGGTGCCGTGACGTCCACAGACACTTTCAGGGTGGACACGTCTATGGACGGACAAGGTGTCAGATGTGTTCGGCGCGGCGCAAGGTCGAAGAAGGGGTAGATCCGTTTTCGGTACGCTCCTGTTGTAGGGCAGGTCCCACATGTTACTCCCAGACATGCGACGTCCTGATTTTTTCAGGACGGCGTCCCTGGAAGTCCCGACCCTTTCCCCGGGACCGGTGTTTCGTCCCGAATCGTTTTGTTGACGGTCCCGAGCCCGCCGAGGCCCGGCAAGGGCCCCCCGGGGCCGGAACTATCCAAAAACCTCCTGTGTTGATTTTGCTACGACGCGATCGTGTCAGGGCATGGAACTCCAAGTTCGATGTTTCCCCCTCCACCCCCTCTTGTGCCAGCCCCCACCCAAGGACCCGCCGTTCGCGCGATTACAACCAAGTGTTTTTGGCTCTCCTGGCGATTGGAGCACTCTGGATCACCAGTTTACCCATCATGCATGTTGGTCGTTTTCGTTTGTCTTCATCTTCCCGTTCCTTCTCCTTTTCCCAAGGTCTTTTTGTACTGCGTTTGCAGAAGGCTTCCTTTTGTGGCGACCTTACAAAATGGTTGCAAATGTGGAGGATCTGCCATGGCCTCCACAATTTGTCTCCACAGGGATGTGCCGAAATGGCCCGAGGCCGCCATGCGAACCCTGCCGCTGGCGCCTTCGGTGGAGCTCCCTACGGGGCCACGATATGGCCCGAGGCCGCCTTTTCCGTATGGGGCTTTAGGTGGTGCTCCACATGGGGCCACGGTCCTTGTGAGGGGTGCGCCGAAATGGCCAAAGCCGCCGTGCAACCTTTCCCTCTGAGGACTTAGGTGGAGTTCCCTACGGGGCCACGAAGCGTGTGAGGGGTGCGCCGAAATGGCCGAGGCCGCCGTACAACTTTTCCCTTCAGGGCCTTCGGTGGAGCTCCCTACGGGGCCACGAAACGTGCGATGGGTGTGCCGAAATAGCCCGAGGCCGCCATGCAACCTTTCCCTCCGGGGCCTTAGGTGGAGCTCCCCACGGGGTCACGATGCGCGTGAGGGTGTGCCGAAATGGCCCGAGGCCGCCGTGCAACCTTTTTCCGTCTGGGGCCTTAGGTGGACCTCCCTTTGGGCCCACGAAGCGTGTGATGGGTGTGCAGAAATGGCCCGAGGCCGCCATGCAACCTTTCCCTCTGGGGCCTTAGGTGGAGCTCCCCATGGGGTCACGAAGCGCGCGAGGGGCGTGCCGGAATGGGCGCGGCGCCGGGGAGGAGGGAGGAGGGGGAGGAGGAGGACTGAGTGAGTGAGGCCCGAGGCGCTGTTTCTTCAAAACGAGAACCCAACACCACAAGATAATTAAGAGCAATAACACATAAACAAGTTTGTGCTTCCACATAATAAAACACAAATCAAACTAAACACCTGCAACCTTCTGCAGCAGCCTGTACAAAAGGATCCCCAGAAGTGAACGGGGAAACCGTTTTGGGGGAAATCGAATTCGACATTCAAAAACACCTGGCGGCGAGAAAGCGGGGGGAGTGAGAAGGAGAAGGCCTTTTCAGAAGGCGACGGTACTTTTCAGAAGCCTTCGCGCTTTCAGTGGAGCTTTCTGTGTCGTCCGGGAAGGCTCAGAAGGCTGGGGGACTTCCGAGCCTTCTGTGAAGGCCTTTTCTTTCTCACTTCACCCCTTCGCTCGCCGCCGAAACACTTTCTGCTTTGGCGGCTAGGCAGAGTCACTGCGCTGGCGAAGCACTCGCCGCCGAAACATGCAATTCTCTCGGTGCGTCACCGCACGGCTTCGCGACCCGCGGAAGCGGCCCTCGAAACCCTCCTCGCCTTCCCCTCCGTCCCTCCCTCCCTCCCTCCCTCCCTCACGCCCTCACGCCCTCCCCCTCCTCCTCCTGCACCTCCTCCTCCTCCTCCTCCTCCTCCTCCTCCTCCTCCTCCTTCTCGTCCTCCTCCTCCTCCTCCTCCTCCTCCTCCTCCTCCCTCCTCCTCCTCCTCCTCCCCACCCCCGGCGGCGGGGGTCGCCGCTCGGCCCCCCCCCCCCCCGCGCGGCCCCGCGAGGTGGCGCCCGAGCTCCCCGCCGAGGCCCGGCCCCGCCGACCCGCACCCCCTCGGGCGCGCGGCGCCCCGGCCGAAGGGCGGTGCGCGGCGCCTCCGGCGAGGACGCCTCGTCGTCGTCGTCGTCGTCGTCGTCGTCGTCGTCGTCGTCGTCGTCGTCGTCGTCGTGGGCGTCGTCGTCGTCGTCGTCGTCGGCGTCGTCATGGGCAGCATCGTCGGCGTCGTCGTCGTCGGCGTCGTCGTTGGCCTCATCGTCGGCGTCGTCGTTGTGGGCGTCGTGGGGGTCGTCGTCGTCGTCGTCGTCGTCGTGGGCGTCGTCGCCCCCAGACCTCCTCGCGTCATGACAAAATCACGACGGAAGGTTTTCCGTTATCATCGGCCTCTCAGGGCTCTTGCGGGGCTTCGGTACTGTCCAGAGAAACGATTCGGGATGAAAAGCCGGTCCCAGGGAATGGGTTGAGACCTCCAGGGGCCGACGTTATGAATTAATAATGACATCGGGGGTCTGGAGGAGAGAGAGAGAGAGACAGAGAGAGAGACAGAGAGAGAGGAAACCAAGGAGAGGAGTGGGTGGAGGACTCGTGCAGAGAGAGGGAGGGAGGGAGGGAGCCAGAGAAAGACGAAGTGAGAGATGGAGATAGAAGGGATGTGGCAAGGCTTCGGGTTGCGCGCGGCCAGCGCCCCCCCAGGTACTCCCGGCTGGCCTCAACAGGCCACCCGAGGAGTCCAGGTTGGCTTTAGCTGACCCCCTGAGTAGTTAGTCCGGGGCTGCCTCAACACCCTGGCGCCGCCTCTGGCGTTTGGTCGGGCATGTGCC